ATGTAGTGTATATATTATTGGTATATCTTTTACGCGCGTGAAATGCGCCAAGAGAGAGGAACGCGCGTAAAAATGACCGGCGCATAAGTACGTGTACACAATTCTGGATATGACAGTTGTGGCAAACGACTATGTTTCGATAATAGTATATTATTATAATAGTATATTCTCTCGAACACAGAAAAGTCAAGTGTTTTCGTATTAAGTAAAAATGTCTAAATTGTCATTTCATGCAAAATTTAAACTGATTTACAATGTGTATGTGTTGAAATCTGGTTTACAATCTGCTGAATAAATTAAAAATAAGAAACTTCTCGACACGTGGCATTTGAAGTATATAAAATATAACAAATTTTTAGATCACGTTGTTGTATCAAACGTAAAATAATTGTTGACAAAGACAAACGATTTACATCCAGTTACAACTACTCTAAAATCTTCATAAAATCTTGCAAGGTCTCTTATATTTCTCTTAAAGCAATCAATATTAAATACAAGAAATATATGTACCTACGACGCGCGTGAACTATGGCAGCTAATTTTGTGCGATCGAGAAAATTAAGAGTAGCGAATGCTGTTTCAATCTCGCAGGGGCCATTCTATTTTTTCGCCGGTGGCACGTGAATTAAGTCCCTTCGCTATCTTCAGTCCTCACGTAAATTACGCGACGCTCCGTGGAGAGAAATAGCCGCCTCTTCTTTTCCCCCCGCACCCCAGCTCTTTCTACTTTATTTACATATAGATACGAAGGCCATTGAGTTGGCAGGAAAGTACTACTCTCTTTCTCTGTCTCTTTTTATAAGTTGATTCATTCAACATCAATAAAATTTGCCTACTCGGAATTATCGCCAAGTACGCGTTAGTAGAGAATATCACGTTCAAACTTTAACGTATTCACTATCAGATATAATACGGCAAGTAAAACTTTCAGTTTAAGCTCATAAATTATTTTTTTATCATAAGTTTGTACAGAAATTGTGAAAATTGCGCATTACAATTACAAATACTCGTAGTTTTATATATAGTCAAATTTGCCTCCAAGTACATAGAACATAAAATTATTTATTTAACTCAATCACTCTGTGCAAATTCTTTTAACATTTGTTACGCATGCCGATAGAAAATTCAGTACTTCTGTATTAACTTCGGAATTCAAACAAGCAAGGCGTATTATGAACATGCACATAAACATCCCTTGGCGTTATCAGTTGTCGGACGCCGGGGTGCCGGATATTGTCGCATCCTCTGCTTTGCTCTCTCGACTCTCTCTTTCTCTCTCTCTTTCTCTCTCTCTCTCTCCGTTCCACAAAACGGAGCGAGGAAGAGATACGCTGTTGGAAACAAAATATAGGAAAGCAGATCAGAGTAGAATAGTGCGACCTAAAGTTGCAGATTTAATTATCTGTCTCCGACTATCGTATTTTTCTAATAACGAAGAATGCCGTAACAATGTACCGTACAAATTTATTAGTAACATTATTCGCGATTATTTCAAAAATATGCGACGCATAAGTTAAACGGCTTTAAATGAAAATCTTCTGTACTTTCTTTGACGACAATAGCTTAGGGTTGTATATGAGAATTCATAAAAAAAAAAAAATCGTAAGTAACCAGAGTAAAACGTACTTTTTCTATTAAAAGAGAATAGAAATCTTTTCTTTGTGTCAAAAAAAATACGATCTAAACTAGAGAAAGTTTAGGACTTCCTTTATAATGTCCAAAGATTAACGGTATCGTACCTTTTTCGGTTCTTTTTTTTTTTTTTTTTTTTTGACTCTTGATGCTACACCCAGATGTGCGCTTGCTAACAATGGAAACGAACGAAGAGAGAAAAGACTAGTAAACTAGAAGTTTCAAAATATTTATTCCAAGTTATCATTATCTATTTTATTGGAGCAGAATGTCGGTCGACATCGCTAATTGTTGTTGGCGTGAATTGTAATATTTGTAATTATATAACCCATATAATGTACATTTGTCTTTTCGGACAGTTGAAAAGTTTCTGAGAACTCTGTATCAATGTGACCCCAAACATAATCGAGCGCATGGATTATTTCACTCCGTAAAGCGTGCCGAAGGGTGAGCACACAAAGCTTGAAAGAGTTAAATCGCAAACCGGTGTGGGACTGCTAGCGACGAGCAAATAATCGAGTTTAATTACAAAACCGTCGGAATGATTTAATTACGCTGTACAACGTTACCGGAGATATATATCATGTACCAGGCGGCACACACATATACTCCAATTCTCTTTTTTTTACCCTCCTGGGATGCTTGATGATAAGTGAAGCATCGGTCTATAATATTATGTGTTCAATTTTCAAGATGTATCAATTTCGAGGTGTTCGATCCGAAAATTGTGTGCACGCGAGAATTAAATATAATTTTTTCAAATATTACTGATTTATTAATAAAATATATAGATGGAAAAATATATAAAAAATATAACATATACTTATTAAAAATTAATTCTGATATAAATTCTCACTTTATCTCGCGTTAACTTTATTATTTAAAAACGCAAAAAAGAGATAAGAAAAAGTTTTTTCAGTGAGATTTATTTGCATCGTTGTTTTCGAAAATCGCACAGACATCTCGTGTCTCTTAAAATTCAGTTCTTCTCTCAGAACTGCGGGCTTATCTCTGCCGCGTTTTTGTCCGTCTGCGGTAGTGTTGCAACACGCGAAGCAACGTTCGCGCGAAACCTGCGACAAGAGATTTCTACTTGATAACGTTCTTGGCACGCGAGTACACTGAACTCAAGCTAAGAAAGATTGATAAGATTTGGATAAATCCGTGTTCTTCGTAGCAACCAAGCTGCACGACACATCTGATACCTTCCGCGTGTTTTCTTATAAATGATGTAATAATTAATAAAATTTTGCAGAATTTTGATTCGATAACTTATATACGAATAAGCTACACAAATATGATGAATTTAACAAATTATATAAATTTGTGTTTTCTATAAAATTAAAAATTTTTTTATTATGTGTGCTCTGACGGAATATTAAAAGTATAAATAATACGCGCACGAAAAATATGATTTCATAAAGATGCAAATTTACACTCAAACTATTCGGTTGCATTAAAAGTCATATCCGCGTTTCTGATACTTTGTAGTATTCGCAAGTGCTTTGAATGGCGATATTGAGTTTTTATCCCGCCATTGCACCCAGGCGGAAACTGTAATCACCATCTTTTCATTGCCCTATACGTGTTCAACGTTTATCCTCTTTTTTTCTCGTCGCGAATTCACGTAAATCTGCGGTAACAGCGATAAACCTGCGAAGCTGCGAACGTTCAACATTTATTATTGCTCTCGCGTGTGAAGTTTGATATCCCGGGCGCACATGGATGCGCGCGGTCGCGCGCCGGTGGATGTACGGATAGAATGCAAAGGGCGACGCTACTGTTCCTGGTGGTTTGCTGTTAGTGCGTAGGGGATGGGTAGATACGCTGGGGGTTGCGGTGGATCGGTGGGGGAAGAGAGAGAGAGATAGGGCAAGTAGGAGGGAGGAGCGGGGCGTGCGCCCTGCACCTCATAAACTTAAACCCTAATTAACCAGCGCTACGACTACTGTTGCGCTCTACGTGCGTATGGTTCTCGTTCGTACACACGAACGCACTTGGACGCTTTTCTCTCTTGCTCCCGCACCCGCGTGGGTGGTATGTATACGTGTATATGCACGTTCGGCGGTATTCTCTAGTGAGAGACGCGATGTTTATTGCCCGACTTCACGTAAATTAGCTCCGCCCGCGAAACTATCCGGTGGGTTCCGTTCGCGGTGAAGCCATAACCGTTGTTTCCGAAGACGAGTCAGGCGCTCGAATTTTCCCTTTACACGCTCCAACATGAAATTCGACATGTTCATTCTTACAGGGGAGATATAAACTTGACTTATTCGATAAAATACAAAAATTTTTTAAATCAGTTTGATTGGCGAGATGTTTCGCGACACAGGATAAAAATTCACAATCACGTACTTTTAATTTTAAAAGAAAAAAGTTTTATTTCGAACTCGTAAGATCAAGATGTGTATACATAAGATTTTAAATTGATGTATACATTAAATATTTAAATGGCTCAGAAGCAACTATGTGGAAGATATTTATTGCGAACTATTTTGTGCAATCTGCTTATTTGATTCAACAACACTTATGCAACACATCTCGCGCATACTTAGCTGAATGTCAGTTTAGCGAGCTCACAAAGTGATTTCTTCAGAATTCAAAGCGTATATTATACATGTAAACAAATTCAAGGCACGCCAAGTGTTTTTCTTGTCAATGTTACATTGTTACGTCAAGAAAACAAGCAGATAAAACATAGAAGATTTATAATGATCATAAAGTTGTCTTTGCTCGTTTTATGTGTCAGAAAAGTGCAATGGCATCATTAATAAGTAAGTCAAGTAATAATGTAGTAGTTCGCATAGCTATATTAACTCACTTAATCACACATAATAAACAATGAAGAGAAAACGTATATCATATTTTTAGATTGGATCAGTTTAGAACACAGAAAAATCATGTATAAATTAAAAAAATTATAATTATAAAAAAATTAAGCACAATATTAAACAATTACGTTAAATAAAAGCAATTCTTACTGTTTGTAATACGAAATTTCGCGGAGTTACCAAAATCGTATATTCCTCTCTATTATGTATGTGTACGTATTTGGCGCAGGCGTATTATCACGTGAGAAAACCATTTGCCCAATCCACATATCAGCTAGTAGTCCTCGCTGATAGCGGAGCAACCACGCGAAATTTCACACATTACTTATAATTTTTAGAAAGAAAAAATTAAAGTCGCGTGCGATAAGCTCAATCGAGTCACTATGATGCGGAACAAAACACTGAAATCACGCACAAGCACGAGTTTTTTCACTTCAACACAGCCCTAACCACGACAATACAATCTGCGCGTTCGAACGCTTCTAAAAATATTTACGTTCCATATGTGTTTACACCGTATCGCAAAAAAACACTTACGTAGTAACGTCGTCGATGTGCGAAGCATCTTTTTCTACGAGGACTTTAAACGGATCACAATGATTGACACATGATGTAGGCGTAATCCGTTGGGCACTTGACTCGTACCGATGCCGCCATCTGCGCATGCCCGCCCCGTGCCAATATGGCGATTCGTCCAGTCCACAACAGAGTAGCGCGGGATGGGTTGCCCCGCGGATGGAGCCTGGTCGATGCGACTGGAGCCACGAGTTGCCGCGACGCGGCAGAGTGATCGCTCGCGTAAGCAGTTATTGGGAGGGGCGAGACCACCCAACATGGCTGCCGTGTTCGTGTCTCCTGTGATTTCGGCCGAGTTAATTTTCTCACCGTTTTCCACGGCGATTTCAACTAGCTATCGTCACACTCGTGCTGTCATCGTCGACTGGACGTCGGCAACGGTATGTAACTTGTCGTTTAATCACGCGAATTTTCCGATTAAATCACGAGACGCAACAGCTGTAGCCATCTTACCAAAGGCTTACGCCCACATGTGTATTTCGCGCGTGTGTGCGCGCGTGTGTACGGTGAAAACGTGTACTCCATATAGTGTAAAACGGAAGATATATCGTTCTCAAAACACATATCAGATCGAACAATTCGTCTTAATTAGCGGTAAGAAACAAAAAAAGAACCGTCGCGAAAATTTAATATAGAAAAACATAGTGTTGCGAAATGTCACATTTTGTTTTGGAGCATTCAGAAATTGTAATGATTTTAAACAGTTTTATTATGCATTAGGTTCTGTGCACAAGCGCGCAAAAGCTTAGCAGAAGTACTTCTGGTAAAAATTATAATGCTGCAATTTGCATTTCATACGTAATCTCATATAGTAACAACCATTAACTTTTTCTTCCGCGGATTATGTCCACAATTTGTGTACGTGCTCCAGCATTTTAACCGTGTAGTTATCGTCGTTTCTTAAATTCTCTAATGTAAATGAAATCCCGTTGTATTTGAACATCCAGAATTGAAGTAAACACACAATGACGAAGGTTATATTTACGCGATTAAATCATTTTCTCACATATGTAAAATATATTATATTATTTAATTTTTACGTTATATAAACGCTGAGCAAACATATCAGCGAGAAATTTTGTGCGTGTTTTAGCGCAATTAAGATTAAAATTAATTTTAAGTCTTATATTTTCACGTCTCGTCACGTGATTTTCGGCTGTTTATATTTTATATTTTAACAATATGAATTAATTTCACAAAGTTTTACAAGTTCTACGCAATTAATTACACTATTATTCCACAGTGTCGACTCAGTAATTTATTCTTAATTCATTAGTGCATAAGTAAATACTAAATTTCTTTGTTTGCACATTGTTTTATTATTATAACGCGCTACTTTATAAACAAAAAAACTTGCCTAGAACTCGCCAGTCGAAAAAAAAAGAGATGGAAAGGAAAACATATATAACGGATAAGAGATAAGAGAAGGGATACAGAGATAAGAGTTTCCTTAGGGGTGATGAGAATATCTCGAAATCTATTTAGAGAACCATCTAAGATAATCTTATTCCGACTAGCGGACGGCGCGCATTATTGATTTTTTTCTTTTCTATTTTAGTTCGATCTTCTGTGTGTAAATTTGGTTATTGTAATTTGTTGGTTTTTTTTTTTTTTTTTATTACGAAAGCAAAGTTTATTATAATCTATATTATCGATAAAGAATTTATTTTGAATTATTTTATACATTATATGTTATTGTACATTACGAAATCTTCGTGGTAAGAAAGACGTAAGATGAAAACGTAGAGAGAGCGAGAAACTCTACAGCATTCAGCATTGAGTTGTAAAAGCGTTTGTTCGCTCTCACCGCGCGAGGCGGCATAGTCGCTTATGTAAAAGCCGGCTACACGCCGCGTGATGAGTGGACGTTGTTCTATGCTCTTTTTTAACTCTTTGATGTTGCTTTTGCACTCTTACCTGTCTGTTGGTTACGTATACGGAGAGATCGTACGTGTTGTAGTTACTTGTCCGCACACATATTTGTGCCCTCTCCCTTTTGCTCCTTTTTTCTGTCTTTCTTATCCGACACACACAATATCACCGCGACATTAACAATTCTATACATTGCTCACAGCATATTTTGTTTGTGATTTAAAGTTAAGACATTTTTTTCAAATGTGTATAGTTTGAAATCTCGTGTGAATTTTTAACACCTTTAATTTTTATTTATATTAATTTCTCTAAATTAATATAAATATAAAAATTGATGGAAATTTTAATTACGAGATTCTCTTTTTCTCATCATTCGGATCATAGATTCAGATTAAAATTCGTAATGTGCAAACTGAATATACAAGATGTAAGAGAACTGATTTGCATCTTGCGGGCGTTTATAATCAATCGCATATCAATATCGTCAATAAATATACAATAATACATGCAATTGACCGAGAAAGACAGAGAAATAGAGTATCTATAATTCCATATGGAGCAGGTCAGCATGTTGTTAGGGCCGGCGGTTAGTCGTGAGGGAGTCGGGAAGCGCGATGACGAGAGAGAGACTGAACCGGTTATGGGCGAGGCCCTTCGATTCTTCGTCTTCTTGTACCCCATCTTGGGCCCGGAGTGGGAAGGGGGCGAGAAAGGAGGAGGTGAAAGGAAGCGGTTGGTAGAAAAGAAGGGTATACCAAGTATGGTGGTAAACGGGATGATGGGGCAACGAAGATCGAGAAAGAGGTGGCCGACAAGGGGAGAAGAGAAGTGCGCAGGGAATGGGATGAGAAATTCTCGTTGGCTTCGCTTCGATGTCTTTATACGCGCGGCTCTTGTATGGCCATGGGACATATATCTGTCTTGCAAGAGCGAGGGGCGCCGCCAAAAAATCAGATCGAGTGTAAAAATCGCATAAACTCGTCGTGCAAACTCGAGAGCTATGTCTGCCCGGCTGGTTCTCTCTCAGAGCTTTCTCTCTTTCCTCTTTCTGTTTTCTCTCTTTGTTTCTTCTCTTTCTCGCATACTCTTTACCTTTAAGCTCCGGTTGATCCTTTTCTCTTCTTCTCCCGCCCTTTCTCGCCGTCTTTTTCTTCACAAGCAGGTCTACAAGTCTGCTCGCATGACTCTACCTCGAGGAAAGGCCGATCACCTTCTATATTTTCTTTTATTCTGCTTGTCCGCCAAGCAAGAGAGTTATGCGGTTAGTCGGGCTTATGAAGGATCCGCTCTTTATCGACAAGTAAAGCGATCTTCGCCAACGTGCGTGGAGCGAGAATCTCAAAATAATTTTATTGGCAAGTACTGATTACCACCTTGATCAACTGTGCACGCGTGAACGCTTGACGTTAATGAAGTGGTCGGCATTAATAAGGCAATATCTCAGTGTTCGAATTTTATCTCGATCTTAAGGCTACTGGGTTTTCGTTTCTTTAACATTTTCGCGCATCTTTCCTCAGATCGTAAATACATACATAAAGATTATTTGAATAACGTTTCTCTATACATATGATAATTCTTTCTTTTTCAAAGAAAATTACGAGTAAAATATTATCTGCAGAAGTTAGAAATTTTTTTAACACGCAAAACTATTTTCTAATTTATATATTTGTATAATCTTCGGTTGTTGTTGTTGAATTTATATTTAATTTTGTTGTTGAATGTGTATTAGAAACACGTTTACACAAACTTGAAGTTAAAAATAATGCGAATAAATTCTTATTCTCTTATTTATCTGAAAAAATGTCGTATCATTTTATTCTGCGATTACGATTTCTCGATTTATCAAATTCTGCGCGGTGCTTGGAAGTTCGAGGTAATTGTACTTCTTTGTACGCGCGACTACAATCAAAACGTGTTCAATGTAACTTCGTACCTACTTGTAAAAAACATTCGAAGGCGAGCACAGCCAAGTCGAGCAAATCGGAACCGCAGATCGACCCGGCAGCAGGATGTACCAAAGAGCAAAGAGTGCGGCCGTTGCAATGCAAGCTCTTAACGAGCTCGCTTTGTTTTGCAGCGCATGCATGTGCATGGTGTATGCACGAGTATGGGCTACGATATGTAAGTATACAATATATGCGCATACGGAATATAAGCGTGGCCAGATGTATGGGGTGTTCTGTTTAAAGAACAGACGTATTTTATCATTAAAATATTATTTATTTCGAGAATGTCAAATAAAGATTGTGAGCAATGTCCGAATCGGTATAGATATATTCCATATTTAGCAATTATAATTTGAATGTTATACTGTGTATAAGAACATTGATTATTAAGGATACATAGCTAAAAACAAAGGAAATTGTATCTATTAAAGTAAATCACATTAATATTTAATTAATATTTAGAGTTACCGGAATAACTTGTTGTGATTCATGAGTGAATGAGTGCCAATTGAATTGAAAAGATTCTTATACAAACTTCAACACGCGCGCAGATCTTCGTGTGTGATTTAGTTGAGTGTCTTTCCATCCCTCTTGTGTCGTATCTCGTTTGTAGCGCAGTCAGTGTACAAGAACGTTAGATCTTCACAGCTGTCGGTATTGCGAGTAGAAATACAAGGTACGCGGATGACACCCGGTATATTACGGTGGAGTATATAGAGGTGTATAGATAGGGAGACAGAAGGGAGACCGGTTCCATACATGGCTTCCGAAGGCTTCCTTTTCTTGCGCTAAGACCACAAGAGAGACAAGCATCAGCAGTCGTCTCCACTAATGAGATGGAATTGGACGTGGCCGAGATTTTTCTAGACTCGTCCACAAGAGAGCGAATCAACTGGATCCTCAACATGCCCCCGTCGCCATCTAGTTCGCGACATTCTCGTGAGCGCGACCGGCGGCGCTCTTTGATACGAATCGTTTAATTGCGTCCCATTAGCCCGGCTTGGAGCCTCCCCTTGGGTGAATGCTTGGCCAGAAACGAAAGCTGAAAGCCGCTCCGCGAGGGTTTGGTCTGCTTTTACTCTTTTGCTCCTACCTTCACTTACCATCGTTGCTCTTGCTCTTCTTCATTCTACTCGTTCTCCACTTTTCTTCTGGTCCTTCTTCGTCGCGTGAGTCAGAATCGGTGGTACGATGGTACGCGAAAGGCATCGTCCAACTTTTTCTCGCCGGCACGCTGACGGTTCGTTATACCGGGCCCGCCATTGAAAGCCCCGTACGTGATGTGACGCCGGTCGAGATGGCGACCGAACAGGCCCAACCTACCACTTTTTCCCGTAAGGGACCAGAATACCAGGTTTTCGAAAGGCGGTTG